TTGTTAGCAAGGAAATTACTGTAATGTAAAAGGAGACCTTCGAGAAGGGTTTTCAGGAGGCTTCGACAAGTGCTTCTTAATAGCTGCTCTTAAAAAAATAAATAAGTATTAGATTATTAGATTTATTTCAATATAGAATACTGCATCAATATAGAATACTGCAACAATACAACGCTTGTATAGGTTGTCGAAGTAGAATATTTTTAATTTTAATGTTGCATAGATACGCGAGATATAATTATTTTATATTTTATTCGTTCAAATATCGTTCCATCGTTATAAAATTTGGTGACTTTGAAAAGGGCCGATTTTTGCGCCTGTTCCAAATAATTATTGTTCCTTATTACTATGGATATAGAAATGTGGCCCGTTTCTGCTGTCATCGTCCCCTTTTTTTCGTTCGTTGTCTGGGAAGAACTTCGGCTTCGACCCGACTTTCTCGCGAACTTGATTGATTCGATACCTAATCGATTCAATCAAGTTATCGACCGTGTCGGATATTGGACTGACTATTGACTGACTATTAACCATCGACCTCAATTTCTTTGGCACAAAAATCGACTCTTTTCAGGCCCACCAAATTTTATAACGATGGAACGATACTCGAACGCATAAAATATGAAATAATTATATCTCGCGTGTTTATGCAACAATAAAATTAAAAATACTCTTCTTCGATCGACAACCTACACAAACGTTATATTGTTGCAACATATTCTATGTTGGTTCAGAATTCTATATTAAAATAAATCTAATATTTATTTTTTTTTCAAGAGTAGCTATTAAGAAGCATTTGTCAAAGCCTCCTAAAAACCTTTCCCCAAGATTTTTACATTACAGTAATTTCCTTGCTAACAATGAAAAATGCATGAACGTTCGAGCGAGCGAAACAGTCGTCGTGACACCGCGTATTGCTCACGTATAGACGAGACAGTGTGAGTCAAGCGTTTTCTTAGTGTGTGTCACACGTATTTTAGGACGGCATTTCTGTCCAGACATCTTATAATGCTATTTCTCTCGTTCTTACGTTTGCGATAGAGGATGGAAGATCGCCGCGACTCCCACCACTATTCCCTCTCCAAGCGTCCGACGATCGTATACCGCTAGCTCCCTCCGCCACTCCGTGCTGCTCATGGCTCACTTACACGCAGCAGTGTATGAGTGACGCGTTATCGTGTGCAGTCACACGGATATTCGGACGGCATTAACGCCGGTGCGTGTACTTAATATGCAAGCGTAGTATTACATTCCGTTTCACATTTAAACCACATTGCTTGATGCTTAAAAATTTTTATGGAAACTTACACAATTTACATGTAAAAAAGAATATGTACGACCAAACTGAAAGTTTACGTAAAATATTTCATGTTTTGAGAATTCACCTTTCACGGTTAACGTTCGTCTCATTTATTAAATTTACTCATGTTATATTATTATATTACATTGTAACTATAAATTTAAGTTGTATAATGCTTAGTAATGTATTATATGTTATATTGTGTATACTGTAATTACATTTTAATTTTAATAATCTATATTACATAAATATTGCTTTCCACATTTTCATTGTTCACTTTTCATGTGAAATAACTTACAGTAAAAAGTGAAAAATAAAAATGAAGTTCACGTGAAAGATTCATGATCGCTACCCAGGTAGTATATGTAACGTCCGGATCTATTTTAGAATATTAATAATATATTATTATAGACCGGGAGGCCGACTTGTCTGATTTCAGACATCACTAGATATTTTATCCCTATGTTACTAGATGTAAGTACGTGCGCATATGTATATTCGCGAGCGTTAAAACATTATAATTAAAATGCCGAATGCTGCGTGCTGCTGGAGAGTTTTGAAATCAATGGATCGACCTAAAGAAACCGTTATCGCTCAGTGCGATAAGCTAACATAAACAGGAGCATGAAAGCCGAATCTCAAACACCACTCAGGACACCGACGCGGTGACATCATGCAAAGGAATGAATCTCTTCCCTCGCCATAACTCCATGGACCAATCGGAGAACGACTCTCAGCGACAAAGCGACATATAAAAACGCGCGCATTTGTAGAGAAGGCAATTATTCTCTTCTCATAATTAGTCTCTGGTAGCTTTCGTGTACCT